TGTTCTCGAGGAGTGCGGTCGTTACCCAATGTACGGCAATCAACGGCAAACGTGTATTGGACAAAGTTAAATAACTCTCAGTCATCATTCCACACTTATTTGTCACTTATCTGTCAGGTGAAAACACTTGGTCATATGAAGTCAAACACATGTTGTATTTCTGTAAATTACAATATGCATATAATTTGCATAGTTATTCTCAAATCGCTGTTAGAAAGTGAAAATAACTTTCACACCGCACAAATGTAAAGGCCAGTTCACGAGTTCTTTTATAACACTGAGAAATCACGTCCACGTTTTTATGAATGCATCACCAGGTGGCGTAATACATTAATTAATCATAATTTATATCTTTGAGAACTCTTCATGAGGACAGTATTGAAACGACCACGCGTATTTACAGGTCTTATTGCTTGCTATGGTCATTCTCTCGTATTCATTGGTGACAACATACTACCGCCATATGTATGACCATGAATGACAATACATTTAAACACGTACAATGTTATTTTACACATGCGCCCATGGCCAACAGTGATACATATATCAATCTAGGTTACTATCTTACAGACTCAAAGAAATGACACAGAATAATAACATTTTTCAGTAGTTCCAAGAAATATGTTTATTGGATAGGTCGGCATAACGTAAATTTCCAGAAACCCTGGGTTTCATATTTACATGAATAATAATATCTGTCGTATGCGACACATCGGAACAAATGTAGCATTTTATGTCACGCTACAGTAAACGAAGTTGTGCTTTATTCTACCATCAACAAGATGTGTCTAGGGTTATGATTCGACTATCTTTAAGTATTAATTATGTTTGACAGATTAATCAATGAATGAATGAATCAATCAATCAAGTAGCACATACACGCAGGTAAGCATGCAATTGGTGAGTGAGTAGTGGGTACATGAGCGATTGCAGTACTTCAAACCTTCTATAAATATGCATATTTGTGTTTTTTTTCAGGGAAAGGGCAAAATACTAACATACTGGCTGTTGGGAAGAGACACCCCATATGAAAAATCAAACGACCAGTAAGTGGCATGACGATGATTGACGTCATATGTAGAAATAGATCGACACTCATTAACCTGTAACGTGCACATGATGCTATAGGTCGGATGAGATATTGTTTCTACTCATCCGTCACTTTATCATCTCGTTTGGAATATTGATTGTGAAAGTAATATCGCAACAAGAAACCAATATTCGATATCTGAAACCTTCCAGAACATTTAATATAATGGCATTGTGTAATATCTCAGTGTTTCTATGGAAACATGGCAAGCTTCGTGAACATATTGCTGATAATATACATAAATGAGTCAATTGTTTCACAGTTCAACATGTACTATTCTGCTATTCATTTTCAAGGGAATTGTTCGATGTTTTTTTAGGTTTGACAAGCAACACACCAGCCACGTTGGTCTTACTGGATTCATTGTTTTGTCTGTAGGTCCAGTAGCGACTGCAAATTATCGCCACCTTCGCATCGGGACACACCTCTCGGATCACAGAACGCAGATAATATTAACCATTGATGGAATAGGTGATTTTCCGTACAATTGCGAGATCTCGCGAGATGCATGAAGACGCGCGTCGAATCTGCCGCAAAAATCGAACGATTTGATTTTGAACTCGAATTTCCTTATTTCGTAGCTCACACCGACCGGCCGATCTTCGACAGAGGAATATTGCTTCCGAATACCCTTACTTAATCGAAATTGTCTATCATCAAATGTGGACAGCACATTATTAAACATGGAAATGTCCCCAAAATACTTTCGCGTTTGTCGAATCCCACGCGATGTTTGACGCGACTACGACGCTATGACCTTTGTTTGTCCTGTTTTTACTTCGATTTCACGCATAACGCGTGATTCTCGCAGTGAACGGAAAATGTTCTATTCGCGAGAAAAAAAATGGTAAATTTACATTAGAGGAGACACTTATTTATTTTATTCTGACATTGTATATTATTTTGTATTGTTATTCAAAACTAGTAATTTGCATGGTGTGAAGAAACAACTATAGCTTACTGTTTTGTTGTATTTTCTGGACATACCTAACATTTTATTTGTCATATATTGAGCTACTGCAATTACCTCATTTTTTTCCATGCGTTTGACCTGTTATACTAATCCCTACTTGAACTGTTAGAACCGCTTCCAGCAATTGACGATCATATACAATTACTGATACTATAATGTACGTGCTTAATTGGTCGTGCTTTAGAGATGTCAATGAGCGAATACATGAAGACCATGACAATCATTTATGCACGAAGAGGCGATTTACTTTCAAATTGGCGAAAAGTGAAATGAATAACGTGGACACGTGACTCATAATCATGCACTCTTATTAAGTAATTGGAAAGTATAATTACATAGATTCGACATGTGTCGTGAATAACAATCATAGATAATATAGAAGACCAACGAAGAGCAGTTTATCTTGTTTCTCGTGGTCTTTATACACATAGAATCATGAATTAGCTAACCTAACACACATCATCCACGTTGACAAGATGAACGCTTCCAATCGTATTATCATCCAAACCTTTGCGACTTTCTGGGTATCATATATCATGCATTCATGTATCTATATAAATTTCACAGCAAACGAAATATCACTTTTATTTTTAACAATGCTAGTAGATGAACAATATGTTAGCCACCATTTGCTGCCGCGGTTACGTAAATTCTAATTGATACTTATTGTATCTAGTGATTGTAACACGACTAAAGTACGAACGAAGATGAACAAGATGTAGATTTCCATGACAAAATCCGACAAAATCTGACATATATCAATTCAGTGAACTAAAGTTTGAAAATGTTTTTTTTTTTTTTTATGATATTGAGGATAATCAATAGTTTGGTCAGTTTGTTAGTTCGTTGAAGCACACGGTTGTAACACCGCCAACGCTTATACGCTTCGTAAACTCATTGATGGAAAATGTTTACTGAATTCGTGCCTTTTCATCGCATTTGGGGCACAATAAGGCTACTATCTATTGTATGTACATCACACTTTCGTAGGAGATAATGTTAATTTATGCTTACACAGTTGAACTGCACGATCTTTCCATTGATCGTGAGTGAATTGTGCTGAAAGACAAAGACAGAATGTATTTACGATTTGCAAAACATGTGACTTTGAATGAAGATTTGTGCGAATGGTGATATTCATAGCTATCGAACATGTGATTCACAATTATTATATGATGAACCCCATGTTGAAGCATTTTATTGAAATGACACACTCGAATTGGTCGTGCAGTTCTTTTATTAAAACCTATCCAGGTAGTCATTGAGTTCAAATCACGAATCGAGCAACATGAGTATGTTTGATAAACAAAATATCCAACGTTTTCTCATGACTTTATCACGTTCAGAAAACCTGGTTGCTGCCTTTTTTTTATTTGGTGATTCAACTATGGAGTGTTTTTCACACTTACTAGAAGCGTCTTCGTTTATTTTTCGTACTGCAATAATTTATATGTTTATTTCCTAAATATCACAGCATACAACAAAGAATGTTTAGAAAAAGTTACTTCATAACTATACATGCAATAACTACCCCGTTTAAACTAAAATGCAAGACAAGCACCCATCGTTTAGCAAGTAGATACGGATTCTTATTGATTTATTTCTTGTAACTATTGGAATAAATAAATTAAAAAGTGGCAATTTCTCGTTCGTTCAGCAGCCAAAAATTAACTATATTACACAAATCATTACTAGTTCAGTTTATCAATTCCAAATAGCTTGATAGAACTATATTGTTGGTTAAATACACAGTCATCCACGTTTCCCATCAGTTTGGGAACTTGATCAGCAATTGGTTACATCTCTGCTCTCAAAAAATAACTGGAATTGCATAGTGCTCACCACACTATGCGAGTTGTACACAACTCAGCTTCATTTAAAGCATTGGACACTGGTTCTAACCACCCTTTTTAAAATATCTGAAAACGTACACTGTAATCAAGGCGTACGTTAGGTAGATTTCATATAACAAAGCGCTTTATTTTTTAATACAATTTTCTAAAATGTTCGGTGCTTCTAAAATACTACAGTAAATGATTCTCCCCCTTGAGCAACAAGAAATCGGACTGGATTCCTCAAAGCACGATTGTTAATGTGGACTGCAAAAAATTACAGATATGTGTTTATTAGACACGAACCCACAGTTATTTTGCTTTTACGTCAACAGCAATATGTGCGTATTGATTTTGATATAATGTATTATCACATCATATTAATTATAAAATTGTAGGTATTTTATTTTTACAATCTGTAATTGTGCCATATAATTCAGGTACAACATTCGTTTCATGTATACCATCTGCAACAGGAGTAACACAATCTCTTGTCAATATACCATGCGTTTCTATTATACTATCTGCTATACTACATGGTAATTATACTACATATTGGTATTATACATGTGTTGTGAATATACCAATTATTGTGTTACAATTATTCCATCAGTTGCAACTATGCCTATACACCCCCTCTGGTCTTTCATCTTGCTACAGAACATGACAAATGATAACGTTTTATATATTTATGTTGTTTTGTATTATATAATTACAATATATGTCTGTCGAGGAGTTATAGAAACACTTTTATTTCTCAAATACTTTCAATGTACTTTTTCTGACACTTACAAACACGGTTGTTTCGTTTTTACAATATAAAACAAAATTTACAGCGGTCGACCAGTTATATTATTATGTCGACTGTGTAAATTTTTATAGCTGGTAACTAACTATTACCGTGAAACACAAATACGGATAGATCTAGCATTAAAGGTAGTATAATACTAAATCTATATATTTTTTAAAAACAATGTATTATTTATACATTTGTAATGAAGTGTACTAATTTCTTAAATAGAGATGGTTAATTGCTAATGTAATTTTACTCTTCTGCCTTATTGTAAGCCACTAAAATGTGTACTATTGCTGAATTATACCACGACAACCTGGCAAGATGCACACATTCTCATTCGTACATCTCAAACAACTATCTAAATTGCCCAAGGGTTGTTTAACAGAAATAATCAGCCGTGGACTGTCAATGTTTCTGCGGATATAGTGTACTCTTTCACCAGCGGGTAATTGGAGGCATATTTTGAGAAAGAACTATGTATAACATGTGTGCCACAGAAAACTTTCAAATTTTATTTTGTTAAATTCATTTATTGCTATTTAAATAGAAAATTATGAATACAATTCTTAGTAACAAATGACAGGTTGTCGAGGATCATATTTCATTTTTTTGCATCAATATTTGAACATAAGCTTATAAAAAATACATAGACGTTGCCCGCCGTATAACTAATAACGTATTCGACGGGTATGACCTGATTATCTCAATGACCTGAACCAAATTTGTCCGTTTATGTAATTACAGATGTTGAATTTAAACAGTTCGTGATGATTGAGCAGAATATCGGCAATAACACACATACAAATGAATATACAATGTTATATATATATATTGTGTATGTATATTTTCAAAAGAGAATAATAAAGGATTAATTAAGAAAAATAACTTACTTTATTTTAAGATTTCGTAGCGTGACAATGGGGTATTACAGTGGACAGTCCAAATGCCTCTCTTTCATGCCGAATCGATGTCACGTTCTTCCATATATGCAGTTTATAACTACTCAAAGCCTAATTGGAACACCTATCAGACGCAAGAAACAATTGGAAAGTACGTCCAATAGCACCGAGAACATTTGCAAATATGTATGTCTTCACATGGGTACATCCGGGCATTTTCACTGCCTAGCACCGATGAAAACAAAAGCCGAAATGTTGAAACTCCTGTGACCAGTTTAACACAACTATTCATGTATATGCAATATATATAATTTTGGTTGCTGGTGCGCTAGCCTTTTCTGATCACTCTCTTATCAGCATCATCATCGTTATAGACTGTGGTAAAAATAAGAGTCCTGTGTGGTGTATGAATACTGGGATTTTGGGCGACGATGCTTACATGGCATAGACACAATTATGTGAATATCCAGGCATGGTAGGACATCAAACACAAAAGTAAATTCCGCATTAAAACAAGATAAACACATACATGAAAATGAAAATCCAAGCCATTAAATAAACTACTACCCACAATGCGCCGCTTTTGAACAGCTACAATGAAAAGAAGGAACTTCTTGCACGCCTCGTTAAACCAGCTCATGTAACTCGCGTACGAAAGTGATACGTGCAACTCTTTCTTTTTCCAGTTAGAGAAAAACAATAATAAAAAGGAGATATTTCATTTCATGTGCCAGTCAATTTGAAACTGAAATTCACAAAATTATACACAATTTTCACAATAACCTAACGGCATCGACATTGATGCTCAAAATAATATTTTTGAATGCCTATCAAAGCTCTTTGAAACTGACATTGATGACCTTGATGAACCGACCACGTTTGACAAAATGAGCTCTACTGTCAAAATGCTTCCACTCGGGCGTGCTGGTGGGATACCAAACGAATTGGCACATTGTTGACCAAACTTGTAGCATTCCCAACAGGCATATTCATGACAACATTAGTCTCCTACATGACAGCATTAACTATGCAAACTCCATTAACTCTCCCCTGGCTATTGTCGCCCTAGAACAAGAAAAGGCATTTCATAGAATAAATCATAGCTATCTCTTTAACACACTTTTTGCCTTTGGTTTTGGTGATCGT